GGAGCTCATGAAGAAACACGACGAAGAAGACAAATTTATGATGAAAGACATGCAAACGGAAACAATGAAGCAACACAAGAAAAAAAACATCGGTTAGCAAGAGAAAGAAAAAGTAGATGGCGCGACAAAGTCAAGAAAGATTAGCAAAAATTAGGATAACTAACTGAATCACAGCGAACAGCATTGAAAAAACTTACATGAACATTTTCTAGATGCTGAGAATATAACAGACACAAATAAGGAAGATTGAGTAACTTTGCCAAGGATTGATTTGATACACTTGGTTGCCATTAATTTTAAAAAATAAAGCAATTTCCAAAAATACCAGATTTGCTATAATTGTGAACAAGTTTCAAGGACTAACATTTGATTTTGTGGGGATATACCTGAAACAGTGTGTTTTCACTGGTGGGTAGCTTTATGTTGCTTTAACACGGACTAGGAATCAAAATCAATTCAAAGTGTACATGAAAAAAAAGAACAACCACAGAGGTAAAAACTGTTAAATAATTCTAATTTTTTTAAAAGAAATGTCGTGTATACTGAGATATTTCAGGAGTCATAAACACTTTTGTGTTTATATTCCAATGTAAAGTAGTTTTCCTGTCTTATGACGGGTTTATACTCTAGCATTAGAGCCAAGGAGCACTCTTCTTATCTGGCCTGGCATGGCCAGGTGGTTAGGGCGCTCGACTCGCAATCTGCGGGTTCAAATCTCCGTCCCACCAAGCATGCTCGACCTTTTAGCCGTGGTGGTGGTGGGCGTTATAATGTGACGGTCAATCCCACTATTCGTTGATAAATTAGTAGCCCAAGAGTTGGCGGTGGGTAATGATGACTAGCTGCCTTTCTTCTAGTCTTTCACTGCTAAATTAGGGACGGCTAGCGCAGATAACTCTCGTGTAGCTTTGCACGAAATTCAAAGTAAATCCAAACAACCAAATCTTTTTAGCTGCATGTTGCTGATGCACCTTCAACATACCACAAACCGTGTCCACCAGTGATATAGACAAAATTTGTTTCACTACAATATTTGTGTTAAAATACGTAATACCATATTCAAAAATGCAATAAAAACTATAGGTGTAAGTTATGATTTATTTCACCATTTCCTGATGTGTTTCTTTGAGCACAAAGCTGGACAATGGGCTATCTGTGCTGTGTCTACCGTGGGGGAGATTATATTTCTACAGAGTGATAATAACTAACTAAGTGGTGTAGATGTGACCAGACTTACGTTTTGTTAGATTGATAATAACTATATGTAAGTGAAAGAAGATAAGGCTTAGCGTTTTCTTCAACAAACTTAAGTACTATTTCCTAAAGTTTGTATCGCTCGAGGATATTATGAGCACACACACACGTTCGTAGCTATGGATCTAATTTTGATAATTATATTTCTAACGGAGACATCTACACTCAACCTTTACATATTTGTTGCTTTCTCTAACTAATCGAAATTGCTGGAAAACATTATAATTAAATTCTTAATTTTTTTCTTCCTATTCTTGCTTGAACAATTTTCATGAGGGCCCCACTTTGACATATTTTTCGTGTGTATGTGTTTTTCCATAGAATTCAGGCAATATTTGTTCATTGACAATTTTATACATCTAATAATATTTGCTGACTGCAGGTTGATTTTACTATTTTCAGTAACTCCGTGTTAAGTCTGAGGACTTATAACCTTTAAGTTCGGGGCTCGATTCCCATCGGTGATTTCAACGCAGATATTCCATTGTGTAGCTTTGAGCTATAAAGAAAAAAATCAGTGCACGATTTTCATAATATTTGATGCTACATTATTTTTGTTTTTGTGACATTTATCTGGACTGACTTTTATCTAGTTATAACTTTTATATTTTTAACTAAATAGCTGAAAACCGATTTGGTTTCTCAGATTTTGTTAAGTAATCAAAAAAGGAGATTTTATGCCTTCCACATCAAAAACAAATTTAATTAGATCAAATGAAGTAGTTACGATACATGCATTAAACATGAAACTGATTTATAATAAAAATGTTCAGCATGATGTCGTTTCTTTTTTTATGAAACTATCGTTAGAAAAATCACGAAAAGTATCCAAACAAAAGAGTATAAGATTAGAATAATAATATTTGAAGAAGTTTTAGTTTAAGGAGAAAGGTTCCAGAATAATGGTACATTACCCTTCAGTGCGTTATATCTACTTTATTTTAATTAATACACTTAGTTTCAGAACCAAACTTTAGTGTTGAAAATTCATACACGGTTTCTTAGGTTGGTCAAAACATTGTATAATATGCTTATTAATGAAGTTTTGGACTTGTTTTGCCCTAGAACAGTGTATATGTCTGTGTATTTTTAGACTATGGGTAAAGTATAAACATTTACTGTTACTGTTTGTTTGTTTTGAATTTCACGCAAAGCTACACGAGGGCTATCTGCGCTAGCCGTCCCTAATTTAGCAGTCCTTCCCTCTAGTCTTACGGGGGCATTATAATGTGACGGTCAATCCCACTATTCGTTGGTAAAAGAGTAGCCCAAGAGTTGGCGGTGGGTGGTGATGACTAGCTGACGTCTGAAAGGGCGAGTATGTTTGGTGTGACAGGGATTCGAACCCGCGACCCTCAGATTGCGAGTCGAGTGCCTTAACCACCTGGCCATGCCGGGCCAACATTACATGAGAGTGTATAACTGATATAAATACAAACACAACATTTCTCAATACATTTACAAACAAGTTAAATGTGTGTGTGTGTGTACAAACTTGTTACGGAGATTAAGTCTATTTCTCTACCAAACTCAGATGATTTAATTATAAAATAAAATAATTTAGTTGATAAATAATTATTACCTTGCCCAAGTCTGACTGGATAAGTTGATTTTATAGTGTGTTTTTACCTTTTCCATTACTTACGATTTAACACTTACTGAAATTACATCTTCCTGACCATCACGATATTATTAAAGTAAAGAACAGAAACAACATTTTTAGGAAACTTGCTATTATCTTAAAATCCAAACATATTGGTGATTTAATTTTGCTGAAAATATAATCATTTAATTTTATACCTAAAATCATATCTAAATGTTTATTTTAGAGCAAAGCCACATCGGGTTATTTGCTGTGTTCAGTACGGGGAAATGAACCCCCCTAACCTTACTACTGTTCCACTGGGGGATAAAATGAGAACTAAACAAATATGTTCTTCAGCTGGCAATAGAACCCTGTTCTCCCACCAGGCGACAGGTGAGGATACACACCACTATATTATCCAGGACTATACTTAAAATTAATTTTAATAAAATGTATGGATGAGTTCTAAAGAACTTTGCTTTGTCATAAGAAGTAAAAACTAAGATGGTCGCCTGTGAGAAAATAATATCTATAAATGCCAGGTCTTTCAAAAGTTACCTTTTCATTGATAATGCAGTTAAGGTCTTCCTGAGTTGGCGATCCAAGTATGCCAAGTATGTGGTTCAATTGGTCCAAATCTAAGCACATAAAAAACACGTTTGAAAAATCTTGTATCATCACATTGACTGGCAACATTAAGATACTGTCTACGAAACACGTTTCTCTAAATTAACCATAAATGGGATTTTTAACAGAATCTCAAGGCATTCAAACCTTTTAATTTTGTGTGGGGTATAAGTGCACAAACAATGACCTTTTGCAGGTATTTTGTACTTGATGTCAGAGTTACTGACCATTCATTTTATACTAATGCATATTCAGTGACAGTTCATGGTAGAGAGCAGAGTGATTAGTGGAATTTGCTAATTAATTAATCTTCACACTCATTAATTGATTATATTTAACTAACTGGCTATTCTCAGGGGATCCTTTTGAAAAATGAATCCATTATTCTCAAAAGATGACAAAAAAAGCTTCTACCTCAGAGCTCAGTCTTAGGACCTTTGCTCTTTTTGATTTACATCAATGATGTAGATGAAAAAATAGTCGATAAGTTACTTAAATTTGCCGATGATATTAAGGTCTAAGTTGTTGCTAACTGTGAAGAGGGTGCCACTGATTTACAAAAGGATCTAGATCATTTAGTGGGATTGGGCAAATAAATGCAGATGAGTTTTAATTATAATAAATGCAAGATAATGCATGTGGGTTATCATAATTTGAATTATAAGTATAACTTGGATGAGAATAACCTTAATAGTGTTATGAAGGAAAGCCATCCAAGAAGTAGAGTTAGGGGGGGATTTGATTGAGGAATTTAAGATTGTAAAGGGCAGTGATGGTGTTGATGCATCATCTTTTTTTCATATATAATGGTGAAAATGGCAAGACTAGGGGACACAAGTATAAGTTTTGGCAGGGTAGCAGTCATGTTCAGCTAAGACGGTTTTATTTTTCTAACGGGGAAGTTGGCATGTGGAATGGGTTACCTTCAGATTTGGTGGAAGCAAAGATTAAAGTGAGTTTAAAGGAAGACTTGATAAGCAACTGAATGATAAGGACCGGCTTTGAGTTGTTGTTTTTAATAGTTTATTGGAACAACATGTTCCTTGTTGTTTTTAAATATTACGTCATGTTAGAGACAAGGGATTTCATTGTCTAGTTTAAAAAACATTTTTTTTAATAAGGCATAAATCTAATATTACTATACACGTACAATGTTTTCCTGGAAAGATGGGTTTGTTGGACAACATCTCTGCCAAAATACAACCAACTGACCAAATATCAACTTTATAAAAGTTAAGGAATAGAAGTGGTTATCAAGAACAGTAACCATGTATGTACAAACACAAAAACATTTATTAACACAAATAACTTGTATAACCACAAGAATTGGTCAACATTTTGTCACAATCATTTACTTGTATGTTTTATAACACATGGGTAACGACAGTCATTGGAACAAAGATAACAATTGGATATTGTTGCAAGATATAAAACCAGATTTCATAAAGTATCATACCACAAGTATAAAGCATTAAATTTTTTTATTATACCTCAGTATAATTTCAAACAGAACTTTTGCATTAAATACTCAGTCTAAAAGGATACTGGACTTGGTGTAGCCTTTACTATTCAGCATTATCTCTGGTGCACGGTACCACCTGGTGGCCACATACTCTGTTAGAAAACCAGTATGATCGTGATCAGGATCAGCCACTCGAGCCAGACCAAAATCACAAATCTGTCAAAACAAAAAAACAGTTTTAAGATCACTAACAAAAACTGTACATTATTTATTTTGTTAGTCTCACATGGATAGAGGGTATAGGTGTATTATTCATGTTGATCTACTAATGTGTATTATTTACCATGTTGATCTACTAATGTGTATTATTTACCATGTTGATCTACTAATGTGTATTATTCATGTTGATCTACTAATGTGTATTATTTACCATGTTGATCTACTAATGTGTATTATTTGCATTAGTAGATCAACATGAATAATACACATTAGTAGATCAATATGGTAAATAATACACATTAGTAGATCAACATGGTAAATAATACACATTAGTAGATCAACATGGTAAATAATACACATTAGTAGATCAACATGAATAATACACATTAGTAGATCAACATGGTAAATAATACACATTAGTAGATCAACATGGTAAATAATATACATTAGTAGATCAACATGGTAAATAATACACATTAATAGATCAACATGGTATTATTTACCATGTTGATCTACTAATGTGTATTATTTACCATGTTGATCTACTAATGTGTATTATTTACCATGTTCATCTACTAAATACTGGCATACAATATTCCAAGTTTTATTCCTTCTGGACAGTCTTTTTTTATCGTAACTTACTATATTATCTAACTTGTACTTCTAGCTGTCTTGGATATCTGGACCATACCCAAGAACTCCTAAAAGTTTCATGGCTATCAGAGTCAGGGAAGTTGGCATTAAAGCAGTAGCAATGGGGAACTTTGAAATGACTTTAAAACTCACAAAAAAATAAATAAGTAATGACTAAAGGGGAGTTTTAAAGGAAGTTTTTTTAGTAAAAATTATCTGCCAAATAACAACTGTTCTTTATTTGTCGAAATAAAACAACATATTACTGTTTTGCTGATCATGTTACAATCGGAAATCGGCCCAATTCCTAATGCAGATAATGTACAGTATAGTTGATGAAGTCATTGTGTAGTATAATTAGCAGTTTAACCTTAAAAATTGTAATGATTACAGAGAATGTACTTTGAAGCTTCATTAAACTTGAAATGATTGAAATTATCAATAAATGTCGCAAGCAACAAAAAAAGAAAAGAAAAAAAGATCATGATTTATTTTCCGTTTTATTTGAACGAGTGCAAAATGAAAATGGGGACGACCTTGTGGTTAGTACATGATCAATACGTGACAGTCGTGAGAGACAAATCAATTGTCGAGATTCATTACCTAAATTCCATCACTAAACCACTTTCTAAAATAAACAAAGTATTCCAACCCAAGGTCAAGTATAGGTCAAAGGTCAAATAAAGTGATAGCGGTTGGAAGTTTTCATTCATAATCCAGGAGGCTACACGTACATGGTGTATGCCGAGGAACGACAGTGTATGTATCGTAATGTATAAGCTCGGTGCGCACGTGGCCACAAATGTTCGTTGTTCACAGAGCATCCACGTACTAACTTCAACCTGTACATGAATTGTGTGTTACAGGGTTACCTGTATATTATATTGTACGTGGCTCTGTTGTGCTGAAAACGAACCGAACGCTCCAAATAAACCTCTCCAAAAATAAATTGTAGGTCGTTTCACTTTTGGAAGGTACAATAATAATAGCAATAAGAGTTAATGTTTTTCTCTTTCAGGAACTAGAGAAATTACCAGTGCTTCAAAACGGCCATTGTAAAAAAATAAAATACTGTGTTTACTCCAAAGAACTGGTGAACTGAGTGTAAAACTTCCAGTGCAGTACTAATGGGGAGCCACATGGCGTATTATCCCTAGAACTTCCCACTTAAATCTCCGGTAAGCACACGATGTGCAGAGCATGATTTTTTAACCTATCTTTTGTTCAGTGTATCAACTTATGTAAATTAATAAGATACCTTTGTTGGGGGGGGGGGCAGATAGGATATTGGGGAAGGTGGCCTTGCCATCAAAATGTATAGATCACTAACGTGTTGGACATGACGGGGTGGGGGGTTAGTTAAGGTACATTTTGGGGTGGTTAGCCCCCCAAGCCCCCATAAGAAGTCATGTAGAATCAATAAATAAGCTCAAAAATCTGAAACTTTTAACAGACAAGCCTTCTAGTCAGTAACAGAGGTGTTGTTTTCACTACTGAAATATAACAGCGAACAATGTCCTACAGAAGGTTTTTTCTCTCTCTCTCCAACAAGAAGCACATATATAAATTCATTCTTTTATTAGAGCTACACCTAAAGAGAAAAACAAGTCTCATTTGATATTTTAGCCAAATGATAAAAAAATGAAAATTTTCCTCCTAAAAAAAAGGAGGTTTAACTGGAAATAACATTAGCTCTGAATGTAGTTAATTTATCGGTAATGTACAGTACCACAAATTCCCGAATGGAAATTAACATATTGAGTAAGTATTGTTCTAATATAATAATAATGATGTACGGAAGTTGACCAAGAGTATGTTCGACTTTGATCCACAAAATAGAATAGAAACATCTGAAGCTCTTTAGCAGACACGGATTCATAATAAATACATAATTAACTACAGCAGCATTTCTCAAAGTGTGGGGTGTGCTTTCCCTGGAGGACACAAATGATCTCTTTGGGAGGGGGAGGGCAGGGTAGAGTCAATAGTACAACAATGTAATTTTACAAACATTAATATTTTTAGTAATGAAAGTAATAAATAATTACCAAGACACATATAGCGATTTCATGCATATCCAAGTATTACTTCTCGTCACTTAAGTCGCTCTTTCATTCATTAAAAAAAAGGGGGGGTGCATCCGTGAACTACAGTATTTATACTTCTGTACTGTTCTTCTTTTTTTTTTATTATTCTGGTTAGAATAACACTGTCAGTTGTGTAAGAATAAATCTTTATAATCTTCCTTCAAAATTTTCAAATAAATATTTCGAGTAGAACATAATATAACTTTTATTTTTGTTACTATGATCCTAAAGAAACCTTGATACACAATTTTCTCCCTTCATAAGATATAAAACATTTCATGAACTAGTAACATAAAAACGAGCAATTGAAGGTCAATCAAGGTAGCCTACCTTTAAATCACAGGAGGTATTAAGGAGTAAATTACTAGGCTTGAGGTCTCTGTGTAAAACATTTGCTGAATGAATGTACTTCAAACCTCGAAGAATTTGATAGAGAAAATAACAAATATGGTCATTGCTTAACTTCTGGGTTCTTAGTAGCTTGTACAAGTCTGTCTCCATTAAGCACTGGACAATGTATCTGGACATTGGTCAAGAAATGGCTTCTTTTGAAGATATATACATATACTGCCAAAAATTAACCACAACAAACTCTAACCATAAAGACAGTATCTTTAAACTGCTTATAATAGTGAAATGATTTGACTCACTAGAAAATTTACTAATATATGGTATTAAAAGTAATAAGCCTTTTTTAAACTACAATTATTTACCATTGCAAAATATCTTTGTTTTGTAAAAATAAATAATTATCATTTAAAAGCTATATTTTTTATATTAATTATATACCACAAAATATATGAATAAACCGATTAACATACAGGTAAGTTGAAGCCCATAATATACCTTTTTTTTTCTTTTTTGATGACAAACAGACACAGAACACTGGATAAAAATCTACTTCACAAGAACCAACTTTTTTTCACGTGAAGAGACTCGGCAGAATCATGCTTCGGCATCAATAAGTTTAGTTTCTGACATCAAAGGCTTTAAGTACGTTTTTTTCCAAGGGCAGCATGTGTGTAAAAACTTACCAATTTTCAGGAACAATAGAATCATCTTAAATAAAGTTGTACACAACAGTCACCTTGCAATCTCAAAGTTACCATACGTATCGTTGTATAAGTGAAATTCCCAATACGGCATTCTGTAAATTACATAAGCCCGTTGCAAAAGGGTTAACGGCATATCATTATTTTAAATTAAGCTACAACACAGCTTCTATATATTACAGATATACGCATGAGAACAGTAACTACCCTCACCATTGACCACCGGTCCCAGGATACTCGGGTAGGAAAGTTTTGGATTCCTTTGTATACAGTACGACTTACACCACTGAAACCTCTTAAGTGAGAAATACAAAAACTTGAAACACAAATTTAAAAAATAACAGAAATAAACTAAAGAAAGACTAAATCTGCTCTTGTTACAAAAGTTTACAAGTAACAAGTGACAGTGTGAATAATAAAGATCAAGAAAGGAAATGGGATTTAGGAACTACGGAAAAAATACTTGGAAGGAGCAGCGGAGTGATAGGTATAAAAAAAGGATAGGAGGATCTTATTTTATAATCTAGCTTTTTAATATCGGTAATTTGAGTTCCTAATTTGTAATAAACTATAGACTTTGTATTTGGACATCACAAACATCTAATTTGAACCAATGCTGCATCCAACTTACCAA